CCTCAAATTACTACAATTGTCTCGAAAATCCACCACCACAAATGCCAACACCTGCAACATCAACTATAAGGTAAAACATATTTACTCATCTTTATTAATTATATTTAAAAAAACATCTCTTTAAATATATATTTAAACAATATTTTACAGACCTAGCCCTCGCTCAAGAACAACAACATCAATAGATCCACATATACCAGAGCTAAAAAAATCAACCACTAGGTAATATATATTTACTATTTTACATTATTTATAAATAAAAAATAATACTTATAACTTTAAATACATAATTTATTAACCTTTTATTATTATAGTTTCAAGGGCAAAGAAATAGAACAGCCAAGAAAACGTCCACAAACCAGGTAATGTAACTACTTCTAAATCATACTATTTTCAATTTTTTCAATTACTAATACTAATATCTTTTAAAATTTATATTTTACGGTTGAAAAAAAATAAAGGAACGACACAGCAAAGAAGGAGAAACAAATATATATTGTAAATAACTTTATATATGTTATATATACATATTTTGTAAATAACCTCATATAGCAATATATTATATATATATATTTATTGTAAATAATTTCATATAACAATGTCCTATGTATATATTCATGTATAAATATACAAAAATAATCTATTTTTATTGTACATAAATTATTAATTTTTTCTAAGACATAAAATTATCTCCTACTGCAATGCGCGCAAATGCGTGCGTCCATCACTAGTTAAAATCTAAAATACATTTTGATTTCATTTTATCTTCTTGTTAATTTTATTTTCTTACTAATTAGTTACGTAGTGCCTCCCATTCTCTTAAGAAAATAATAAATTAAGGAAAAAAATAACCTTTTAAAAATTAAAAAAATGAAATAGCCTCGTTTGAACGTGCATCCACCTAAAAATAAATAATATAACAATTAAAAGAACTTCAAGGCATTGCATCGTTATGAAAAATTACAAAGCTTCCTATCAAACATTTCTACACTCTAAAAAGAAAAAAGAAAAAATCCTTCGAACTAGCTAGACTACCACTTTGCCATTTTGATTTTTGATGGTACATAGTGTGCATAAATTCCAGTATAGTACACCTAATTGGCTCAATTTGACAATAATACTCCCCAGTATCCAAATATATTTTTTATTTACTAAATATATAGATTTGGTAAAAGAAAACAGAAGACATGAAACGGAGTGGCTTGGAGCATAAATAAATATTGAGGGTGCGTTTAGAGTAAAAATTTATATTATAATTCAGATTATATTTCGTAATTTATTATAATATTTTTTCTCATAAAAAATATACATAAATTAAAAATAATTATTAATCATTATTCTAAATCTATGAATTAAAATCCTTTAAGTATTGTTAAGCAAACAAAAAGAAAGAAAAAGAAAAATGTTTGAAGTGTTAGATTCGTAAAGCTTAAAAAGTACGGATTTGCTGTTTTGAAATGGCACTTTCGTAATAAAGAGATCAAACAAGGCATTTTCAATAAACTTGCACAATAACTTTTTTCCAGGAAAAGTAACGTGGAACACGTGTCATTGTTGCTAGCATTCCTCTTCCCGTAAAAGAGCCTTCTACAGGATAGAATTATTTGATGGGATGGTATTGCATATAGGGTCTTCGTCGAATTGGTCAATTTGTCTAATCCACTTAATTCAATTTAATCCATTAATTGAAAGAATTTTATATTATAATGGATCCATGTAATACTCCAATCCCAATTATAAATATTATATATTTTATCTATATATATTTTTAATAATATATAATAGATTTTTTTAATTGCATGATATATAATATAAAGAAAAGTACATAGTTTTGAGCAGGTTTATTATGTACGTCATTTTAAATAATTGAGTGTTATTGTGATTTTATGTTTTCTCTTATTAATTAAATGATAATTTTTTTATTTTTTTAGTGAAATGACATAAATAATATTTTTTTTACTATAATTAAGATATTTTCTCATGCACTTTAAGAGATATTTGTCTCATTTTCCTATTTAAGTATAAATGTATAATTGAGACTTAGTTTTGTATAGCCAATAAGAGCCGAGGCCAAGCACAACCCATTCCTTTAAGGGATATCCATAAAAATTTAGATTCATGCACTTTAAGGGATATTTGTTTTATTTTCTTATTTAACTATATATGTATAATTGAGGCGTTTTGTATAGCGAATAAGAGTCGAGGCCAAGCGCAACTTATTCCTTTTTTTTTTGTTCGTCCCATTTTAATTTTTAGTTGAGTGTGCCTCATTTTCTTTTAGGAAAATTATAGTAAATAACATATTTTTAAACTATTTAAAGTAAATAGTAATTTGCTGTGTAAATATTTATTTATAACGGGTAAAAAATAATTTACATGGTAAAAATTTTTTATTTACGTGGGAAATTTTTTTTATTAGTCATAAAAAAAATTTATGTGAAAAAGTCTTTTTACTTATCATAAACCAAAGATTTACAAGATAAATTACTATTTACTTTAAATAATTTTAAAATATGCTTTTTACTTAATTTAGTTTCATAAATATGATATTTACTACGTTCTCCCTTTCTTTTACTTATTGAAGTTTATTTGCTATGATGGATTTAAATCCTACATCTTAGATTATTGTTAAAGCCTTGAATTTTATGTTAGATTTTGTGTCGTAATAAATTAGCTAGATTTCGTAGAACTATTTTAATTTTACGTTATGTTGTGTTTTTATTTAATTTTGTAATTAATTGTGTGAGAATATTGAAAAGAAAGGGTCTACAATAGTCAAGGTCTAAAACATAGGCCCAATCTGTAAATCTGCATAATCCAATCCGCAGAATGCATTGATTTTAGATTGGATTGGTGGTGTCAAGGATTGGTAAATTGAGATATTTCCAATCCGATGCAACAAATTGGATTGCTAATTGACTCCTAATATATGTAATTTGATCCGTGAAGACTCCTAAGTGCCTTTTTTTTTAAAGGCCTAAGTGCATGTTTTTTTTAAAGATAAATTTCATTCAACTAAAAATTCGTACAAACATCAATACTAATGCGGATACCCCTGTGGTACACAACACAAAACACTCAGATAAAAATCGATTCCATCAGTAAATTCTGATAAAGCACATAAAAGACGACGCACAACAAGACCCGGTATAGGAAATTCCTTGACACATCAATTTAAGCATGCTTAAGGCTTGTTTTGGAACCACTACAATTGATGGAAGCTTTCGATCCGCCCTAATAATCAGATCCGCCCTAATAAAATCACACGCTAAAAATAGCCGCCACCATCGAAAAGCCCACAACGATACGAGCCTTGTAACCAACAATACGAGTTCAGTGATGCGTCTCAAAACTTCGGCCAACTCCCTTTTTTTTTTTTTTTTTTTTTTCTCTTTTTCGTTTCTTTGCTAGGGTAGGCTGAGAGAATCCCTTACCTTAAGGCCATCCCTAAGTGCATGTTTTCAAACGATTAATATAATTAAAATTTTTTAATTTTAAATGAAAAAAAATTTTAAAACTGATGAAACTTGTTATATATATATATGTGTGTGTGTATATATTATATGTATATATATATGATAATTCTAAATATAGGACGTGATTGTCAATCATCGAGGTAATTTTTAATACTCAACCGTGAAATTCAGAAATTATATATCATCAAGGTAATCAAGCTAACCGTACTTTTATCTATATATAAGCTTCCAAGTTGTACCTCATTGTAACACACATTAACGTGTGGATTGTGAATTTTTCGGAGCGTTATTTTGCTTGTCGACTTTTCCGGGCCATTTGTTCATGTGAGATTTGTCTAGAAATCTTATAAATAATATACAAATATAATTGTGAAGATGCACAGTCCTGAGACATGACACCCCAATATCGTAGCTAAGCCCATAAAATTTGATCTTCTTCCCCTAATTCCATTATTGCCATGTGTTAGATCACAACCTATTGCCACCTAGGCCATACAGATCAGCAATCAAACTAGCAAAGCGCACAACAGACACACGCACGCCCAAACAAAATGTACGATAATTCACAATTGCCACATGCATCTAAATATACGTAACCATCTCATCACACACTAGTATTTACTTTTTATATATTTTTTTTTTTTGCTACTGCGTCAGGCACTAGTATTTTTAATGAGAATTCGAAAATAAATATATGTAAAAGAAAAAAAAAGCTATAGATAAGGGTATATAGTATGAATTGTTAGATTTTTATTAAGTTCTGTCAATTTTATGCACCTTTTCATTTAAATTGAACATTAACAAATTCTAATATTCATAAATATGCAGTATCCAGTAGAGATTTCCTACGAGAGAGAGAGAGAGAGAGAGAGAGTTCATATTAACTAGTCCTAGTTCTAGGGTCAAAACCGCCTAATAGTAACCAAACTACAAGATCCTCTAAATTTGGACCCTTGCCAACTTCTAGTAAAAAGACAAAATATTAGAGAGCGCCAATAATTCTTGATATCATATTTAGGATAATATGAGAGTGACACTATATATATATATATATATATATATATATATATTATGGGACGATTTTTTAATAGAAATTTGTCAATTTACTCAGTTCATCAAATGTTGCATGAACCTTGCAAGTGTAGTTGACTTGTGAATTATAATCAGATTCATTATTCCCCCACTTGTACAAACTGCAACGTAATCTTGTGCAAAAAAGAATTTGGTCCTTGCGATAGTCTAGCATGGGACATGAACCATGCTTCATCTTTTTTTTTTTTTTTTTTTTCCTTTTCTCTAGCATGGGACATGAACCATGCTTCATCTTTTTTTTTTTTTTTTTTTTTTCCTTTTTTTCATAAATTCCATAATGTTTTAAGAAATGATAACCAAATTCCTTCCTATAAATACACCAATACTCACTCACATTCTCCATATAAAAAAAGAAACTAAAAAATATTTCTTGTTCTCTCAAGTCACTGCTGTCTTAGAGAGAGAGAGAGAGAGAGAGAGAGAGAGAGAGAGATGGTGACCAAAACTCCATCTTCCCATGAAGATATCCGTATGATAAGAGCAGCCATGAGGCTAATTTTAACCATTCTCTTCATGGGATTTGTTTTCATTTGGATCATCGTGCCCACCAATACCTACAAGCAAACATGGCAGCCTCGTATCAAGGCCAAGGTTAATAATTCGACGTACTTCGGATCGCAAGGTTCGAGTTAATTATAATGCCCTAATTAATTGATTAATTAGTTCATGTAACCTATGTTGCTTCTTAATTCTTTAATTTAGGTCTAATAGTTTCACTATGATCTGTTTAAGTACACAGGCTTGACGCTTCTGCTCTACACATTTCCTGTTTTACTCTTTGCGGTTTTGGGATGCGTCTACATCCATTTGGGGAGAAAATTGGATGGTCATGATCATAACGTTCAAAGGTTAATCACATAATTAATTACCTTGATTTGTGAAGATCCTTTTCATAATAGTGAACAATGACAAGCTTACATTTCTTTTCCTTTTTCGGGATTTTGATCAATGGCAGTGGCAAAAACCATCGGTTCGCGGTGTGGAAACGGCCTATACTTGTTAAAGGCCCTCAGGGAATCGTCTCCAGCATAGAGCTAACCTTCTTTGTCATGTTCATTGCACTCCTCGTTTGGTCTTTCTCAACTTACTTGCACAACAGCTTTGCCAAGATCACCCCAAAATCGGCAGCAAAGGATGGAGAAAAAGTGTAAGGAAAAAAAAAATTGGCATTTAACACGTCACAAAAATTCACATATTAAGTTTGGGACAATACAAATAGCCCTTATCAATAAATTTTTTTTTTCCCCTAAAAATATGCAAAAGTCACATGTCCGAAAATGACACATGTATGTCGATATGTTGCAGGTGGGAATCCAAGCTAGACAGTGCAGCACTGAGACTAGGGCTAATCGGGAACATCTGCCTAGCGTTCCTCTTCTTCCCGGTGGCGCGGGGATCATCGGTGCTGCCACTATTCGGCCTGACGTCTGAGGCCAGCATCAAGTATCACATATGGCTTGGACACCTTGTCTTGACACTCTTCACGGCTCACGGCCTTTGTTACATCATCTTTTGGGGTGTTACACATGATATCTCTCAGGTAATTAAAAAGTTTCTTTGATTGCTTTTGCTTTACTTTTCTTCCAGAATAGGAAATATAACACGAGATTTTTTAATTTATTATTGACATATCCGGCAAAGTACAAAAGCGATTAACAATATAACTGTCTTACGCATGAAGGGTCAAAATCCGTTAACTTTTTCCTTAATATAAGGGAAATACAGAATACAACCGTATATATATATATAT